AACTGTGTGTGCCGTGTGCCAGGCACTCTCGTGAGATAGTGTCAGAGTGCTTGCATAAGAGTGCAAGGCTGAGCTGCATAGAAGGGCTCCCTCCGGTTGAGGTCATTAATCCATAACTGACTGTGTGTGCTTCAAAGACAGTGCTGGTGTCTGAGTCCTGAGTGTGCAAGCCATTGAAGAGCCACTGTTGTGGAGTGTCCCAGGGAGGGGCGGGGCAGGAGTCTGCAGATACAGATGGAGAACACACATGGGCACAGTTAAGGCTCTGGGCAGCAGTGGGCACTGGGGCAGGAGCCGGCAGGAGCTGACAGGCAGCATGGCCTGACCCTGCTGCCATCCCACAGGCTGAGATTGGACCTCCCTAGCGTGGAGCCCTGGAATTTGCTAGTGTTTCAGGGGTGTGTTGCTGCTGTCTGCGGATGGTATTGGAGAATGGCTGTCGAGGACAGCGGTGGGGGTTGGAGGTTGCCTCGAGGAGGCTGCAGCAGAGAGGTGCGGGGGTGGGAGATGGGGAGCCTGTAAGCAATCCTACAGGCTCAGCTGCTGTTGGGGGGAAGGAGAGAGAGCTACGTGTTGAGAGAGAGCAGGTGGAACATCTGGTGAACCCAGAGGCCCAACTGTGGCCTGGGTAAATACCCAGAATGCACGCTGGCTGGACTCAGGCCTCAGCGGCAACCAGAAGACAGGCACAGCCCAGACCACAGCTGATACGCCTCCTGGAAGTAGCTTCCAGCTCTGACCCCCTGTCTGCAGGTCAGGAAGCTAGATGAGGGTCTGCCTGCTGAGATTTGAGACCTTGGCACTTGCTGGGTCGGGCTGGATGGCCTTAGACAAGTTACTTCTCTGCTCTGCGTCATGGTGCACCTCCAGACAGACGAGGGAATGTGTGTGAAGCCTGGGAGTGACAGGATGTCCACCTGCTCTGTGGCCAGCCTGGCTTTGTGGTTATCTTTGCTGAGTCCACCCAGCTAGCCCCACTTGGCTCTGTCTTCACAACTACCACCTGGCTAGGGCTAAGCGTCTGTATAAGAGCACATGCTTCCGGGGTGCCCCTGGTATCCCTAGAGGTTGTAGCATTCACTGGTGCTGACCTGTGTCTGGGGAGGGCAGTGGCATCTGCTGTGCTCATTGTCTAGTGAATGTTCAGGTCACAGTGATGGTCGACCACGGTGGGTTTATCCCTATGGCCACCATGTACCTGGCAGCAGGGCATGTGGCAGCAAGGTCACAACAGACCCCAGCAAGTAGAGGGTCTGGTGGCCACCGTCTAGCTGTGTGACTGTCTTCATAGACAGACCTGGGCATCTACGTGAGGTGGACACCAGGATGACATTCTGCCCTAGTGAGGCAGAACCCACACAGGTCAGCTGCCGGACCCCATAGCCTGCTTCTTGGACCTGGCTGGCGTGAGCCCATTTTCTGGTTCCTTGTGTGCTGTGGATCCTGATTTCACTGGGGCAGGCACTAGACATTTCCTCTACCCAAATGCTCAAAGGCACAGGGATGTCCTTTGAGGTGGGGGTGGGGCTGAGGGTCTTCCTGTTTGGCTCAGGTGTGTGTACTACTAGTGGCTGTGGATGACATTTGGTGTCATGCTGGTGAGGACATCATGTGAGCAGGCGCCTCTCCTCAGCAATCTTGGGCTCAGCGAGGATCCTCCCCAAGTCAGAGTGAAACCCTGTGGTCACAAGATAGAATGGGGGAGGGGCACAGGAAAAAGGAGAAAGACACTGAAGACATGGCTAGGACTCGCCGTGGGGACACGTGTTCCTAAACTGTGGTGTTAGCTATAATTTCCCCAACTTTAGCCCAAAGATTTCTCCATGAGGATGAGAGTTACTGCCTGAGACGAGGACACTTCTGGGTGACAGAGATGCGGCAGGTCTCAGCGATTGTCACCTGTGAGAAAGGATGGGAGCCACCGGCTTCAGGCTCAGGAAAGACTTTACAACTTTGGAGGGATTGGTATTATCAGAGAGACAGCCACAATAACACATCTGTAGCAACAGCCCTGTGGCTATTCCCCGTGTGGGTAAGCTCAGCCCTCAGTGTGAGAGGTGTGAGAGGCACGTTCACACGCAGCTGCCCTGGGGTCTGAATCACTCTTCCCTCTCTGAACTTCCATTTGTCCTGGCTACAGACATATCTGTGGTCATTCCCAGTCACTCAGCAAGTCTATGGCCAGACAGAGCACCTTGCCCTGTTTCTCACGCCCGCCATCAGGGTGCAGAGTTTGTGTCCCTGCCTCCTCCTGATCACAGCCATTCTTGAGCGTGTGAGGCAGTCACGCTGCAGCTCCAGCCTGCCTTTCTCTGGTGAACATGGCCCTCGGCCATCTTCTCATGTGCTGTCTTAGCCATGCGTCTGTCTTCTTTGGTGAACTGTGTCTTTTTCTTTAAAAAAATATTTGCAATTATGTTGTAGTTGGGATGGAAGGGGTGGGAATGGGGATGGGGGAGGGGTGAGATGGGGGAATGAGTGTGTAGTTGATGGGTGTAGGGGCAGGGCCGTGGCATGTACACATGAGTGTGATGCCCATGGAGGCCATGGAGGCCAGAGGTGTCAGATCCCTTGGAACTAGAGTTACAGGCTACTGGGAGCCATCCCAGTGTGAGGGCTGGGAGGTGAACCCAGGTCCTCTGGAAGGTGCTATGCCACCTCTCTGGTTCTCTTTGTATCTTTTTAAAAAACATTGATTACATGATTTTTTGTGTGCATATCCTGGTCGAAACATGTGTAGGAGGGAGAGGACAGCTTCCAGCTGCTAGTCCCTCCCTCACAGGACCCTGGGGATTGAACTCAAGTCACCAGGCCTGCGCGGCTTTACCTGCTGAGCCGTCTGGCTGGCCTCTGTTCTTCAGCCAGTTTTACCGTCAGCTTGTCTTCTTGTGGAGCTGTGTAAGTGTTAAAGACTGGAGTCACTCACAGGATCTATTGTCTTGAATGTTTGGCATCTGCAGACGCTCAGAATTTCCTTCCGACGGCATTCGTCTGTCTGTTTCTCCTTTAGCTGTTTGGTTTTTCCTGTTACATCTAAGACATCTTCGCCTAATCAGGGCCGTGAGTATATATACAGGTTTCCTTCTAAACGCTAATAGTTTTAGACCTGACAATAGGTCTATAAAGGATCAACTGTGAGTTGATATTTTCTTTAATATGGTGTGAACGAGGGTCTGGGTCCTCCTCTTTGAGTGTGGGCACCCAACTGTCAGAGAACCATTTTGTTAAAAACAAAAAACCCAAGGGGTGGGGGAGAACAGGATTCTTTTCCATCCTGGATTGCCGTTCCTTTGAAAGAAAACCTCAGTTCCTGAGGTGAGAGGGTCCTGACTTCCTCTGGTGCTCTCCTTTTGGCCACCATGCTGGTTGGTAGGCTGGTGGGTGTAATAGCTGCTGCTGTTTTAAGAACATGGTTCTAATTGCCTGGTGTGGAGCAAGGAGCTCTCGCAAGGACATATGTGTCCACATCAGTGATGGTGTGACTAGCAGTGCCTGGTCAAAGGCCTTGTGGTCTACCCCGTCAGAGAGGGCCTGCTGACCTCTTTCTGGGTGTGTAATCTGGCTCCAGTGTCCCCTGGCCCCTTGCCTCAGCTTCCCCACCTGTGAGCCTTGGGTGGTAATAGCACTTTCCCTCAAAAAAAAAAAAAAAAAAATCTGTGCTGTAAGTGGCTGTACATGCCTACAAGCTCAGCCCTCTGGGGGTTGAGACAGGAAGATTCCAAGTTCCAGACCAACCTGGGCTACTTGGGCGAGCCCCAGCTCAAAAAAGGAAACCTGCATGATGGCTGCCTGGTGCACAGAGGAGCCTGAACTATGATGTTAGCAGTACGGGTCATGCTGAGCTGCTTTCTGGCCGCTGTGGCTGACACTGGCTTAAGCTGCTCAGCCTGCTTCTATTCGGACAGGAGGAAAGGGCAGTTGGGGGCTCTTCTTGCAGGCATGACTCTATCCCCTTGAGAAGCGCAGCTTCTCTAGAAAGGTCTGGGCAAAGCTCGGGCCCTTCTGGTGTCACAGAGATACCCAGCCCCCTGATAATATCAGTGGCAAGCTGAGCTTTGTGAGGTAGCATAATGCCTCCTCCTCTCTGTCTGGCGTGTATGAGATCTGTGAAGCAAGCACGCGTTCCCTCCCACACACCTGCCTGCTTATGTACCCTGTTCTTCTAGACAGGCACACAGACGTGTATGTGGCTGCATCTCTGTGTGGTTTTTTCTGATTTCATGTAGCAAGAATGCATGTATGTACATATCCCTTCATACGTACATACCCTCTTAGGCAGACACAGACACGCACCTCTTAGGTGCGTGACACAGATGTAACTCATAAGCACGCATCCGTATACGCAGGCCCCTGTGCACACCCTGCCTGCGGCTTCTTCTCCTGCCCCTTCATCCTTCACCTACAAGCAGCTCTGTCAGCACAGGCCAGGCTACCCCACTCTTGTTCCCACCTATCCTTCCCCTGGTTTGTTCTCAGCTGCTCCTTTGTGCACTGCCCCCCCCCCACCTGAGTCCTAACCTTGCCTCCTGGGGTGCAGGGTTCTCAGTCTCAGCCCTGCTGTCATTCTTGGTCTCGGGCCACCCTGTGCCTTTCTGGATGTTTAGTGGCATCCCTGGCTTGTCCCCAGCTGCAGATTGCAATGTAGCACCGCCTATGACGTGATGACAAAAATGGTCTCCAGACATTACCAGATGCCCTCTGCAGCCATACCCTGTGAAACACTCATACCAGGAGTCAGGGAGTGGGTGCCAGTGGGCAGAGGTGGGGGACAGATCTGGTGGTCGTGTTTTTGAGTGTATCCCACGCTGAGAGTCCCATGTACACTTGTCTCCAAGGCCTTGCCCACTTTTTCCTCCAGCTGTCCGGAGTGGCCCATGCCCTCCTGGCCTTGTAGGTTTGCCTTGAATCCCTCGCCTTTCTGTGGGTGCCCCAGGCCCTGCAGCTTCTGCTGCTGGCCACAGCCGCCTTTGCTTACAAGTGTGTCTGCAAAACTCACAGAAATGCAGAGAGACACGGAGCAAGCATCCCTGCCAAGTTCCTCTTCTGAGGAAGGCTTGGTTTTGAGGCAGAAGCCCACGACGATGCAAGTCCGGGGCAAGGGCGATGTCACCCTGCAGCAGTGGAAAGAGCAGCAGCTGCAACGCCTGGCTGAAGAGCTGAAGGCAGAGTGGCAGGGGGCCCGGCTGCACGAGGTCAGAGACATGGAGCGCCTCTACGTAGCCCATCTGTTGGATGAAGCAACAGGGAGGGCCCTGGGACACGACTTCAACTCGGACGAACTCTACCAGAGAAGAACGGCAAGACATATGAGGGCTAAGGAGAGAAGCAGAGCAGCCTTTAGAGGGGAGAAGGGCCGCAGAGAAGAGCACCCCAGGCACCACCACAAGTCTCGGAAAAAAGCAACGTGCTCACAGAGACGGGGTTCTACCAAAGCCCGGCGCCCAAACTCCAGTGAGAAGGGTAAAGGGAAGTGGGTATCTTCAAATAAGAGCAACCAGCCCTTGGGCCCTCGGGCCAGCAGAGCGGCAGACCTGGCAAAGCTTAACCCACTATTAAGTAGTGCTGAGGAAATTGAGTGCATGGAGGAAGTACAGAAGGAAATATCCCAGGAGGGGAGGCGGCTCATAGGAAGGGAAACATCACGCCTTACTCAGATCATAAACTACAACTCCAAGGACCGGTATCTGAGGGACAAAACACCTGACCTGGAAGAGCCCCTCAGCTCCACCTTCAAACAGGAGGCCACACCCCAGGTGTCTCAATGCAAATGCGGCGGTAAGAATCAGTGGCACAAAGAGATTGAGTCTGCCTTCGAAGAATTGTTTAACACAAACAGAAAGCTGAAGAAACAACTGAATTTACATCTTGTACAGAGGCTCAAGGCAAACTGGAATCCAGACGAACAACCGAGCTACTTAGATACTCAGGGTGAGAACAGCGACACCCTGAAAGAGGAGAGAGCAGTGGAGACAGAAACTGTTGATTCTGGGAGCCCAGTGGAGACGAAGGTCCATGAGACATGGTCCAAAAACAGTCTGAAAGAGTTGCTAAGTGAGGTCGAGTACCCCAGGTACCAACAAATGGCAAAGTACCCGTTAAAGAGTGAAAGCATCATGGTGCCTGTTCCCAAGGCAGAAACACCTGGTGAACAAGATGACTTGTTCTCAGGAAGCCCAGAGTTAGAACAGGAGCCGCCCAAGCCAGCCGAAGTGGAGGAGAAACCAGTGGACTCTGTAGCAAGCTGGATAGCTTTGAGGAGGAAGAAGGCAGAGCTGGAGCAGAGAAGGCAGAAGACACTGCTGGAGATGACAGAACACCCGGACATGAGCTTGGAGATCCACTACCAACCAGAGCTGGAGGAAGAACGCAGGGAGCGCCGGAGGATGCGCTTGGCCATCCTCAAGTCTTACTCCACTGGGGCCCAGCCCCCAGGCTCTAACCACAACATTTCCCTGGACAGCTGCCTTCTTGATGAGGAAAAACAGAACCAGATGATCCACGACCTTCAGCAGCACATTTTAGAGCAAAGCAATTTACACAAGCAGTTTTTGGAAAAAGCCAGGAAGCGCTTGCAGGAGTTTCAGAAAACATTTTAAAGGCAGACCCACCCGTGATAAATACATCCCTGAAGGCCGATTTGCCTGCACCATGCCTGTGTCTCCTAAGTCTGTTTGTTCACCTTCTCGGCAGACTCCTGCCTCAGAAGCAGCAGGATCCTTGTGGTCCTGAGAATGTGTCTAGCTGTGTTCTGCAGAAAGAGTCTGTTTTTATGGGCTGTGGGTACTCGTGGAAACCCCAGGTAAAATGGGCTCTTCAGAGGGTTTAGCCAAACACTGGGCTTTTAAGGGCATTCGGGGTCAGATAGGCACGGTTTCAAAAGATACGTCATTGGTTGCCTGGCCTCTAGCTGAGACAATGTCAGAGCCATTAGCTAAAACCTCTCTCCTTTAGGAGAACAAAAAAACAAACACAAAAGCAACAGTGTTTAACAGTATGTGCATTCTTAGAACCTTTACTGGTAGGGGGCAGGCAAGCCCAACCCTGCTGGGTGACTCCATCTGGAGCCAGTGCTGATGTGGGGTGTCTGTGGGAGAGGAGAGACCTGGGTGTTGAGTTCCCTGATCGTAGCTTTTCAGACTCTGAACCAGCAGCTCCCTGGCTGTGGGAAACACATGCCGGTTAGGTGGGGATCAACAGACTTTCTCTGCAGGGCGTAGAGGGTGAATGCCCTCGCTTGGCCAGCCAGCGTCTGGCCACCACCCAACTCTCCTTCTGCGGCCTCAGAGCAGCTGTGGAAGGGCTAGGCTGTGGCCTAGAGGAGGCGCGTAGAATGTTCCATAGGGTGCATGAGACCCCACGTTCAATCTCCAACACTACAATGGCAGTTGGGGGTAGCGGTGGGGTGGGGTGGGGTGTACCACAGAGGATGTACCCATGAGTGGGCATGGCCAAGAACGACGAGACTTGACTGCCTGAGGCAGTGGCTGCTGGCTACGGCTCCTCATTAGTTTCTGAGCCTTTTCTCATCTCTCCCCTCCCTCCCATCTTACTTTCACTGCCTTCTTCCAGATACCTTGATCGATCATATTTGATGGTGATGCATTAGTAATATAGGTCTATAAATGGCCATAGTTAACTCTTATGCGTATTTTGTAGATAATATGAACAGCTTTAAGTATGCCAGCCAAATCCATTACCCTAGGGGAAAGAGAGCTAAAAACAGGACCTCTGCTGTGTATTGATTTTCATAAACCCCTGTTTCCTCCTCAGACACACACCTGCCGAACCCTTCAGCACATAGTTGTGCACTGAACATGGTTGGTCATGGGTGGGTTTCCTTGGGGTTGAAGCTCCTCTTCCCTGCTGTGGTCTCAGCCTCCTGACATTCAGCCACAAACCCAGAGCCTGTGCTCACTCGTGTTCACCTTGGCATGATGTTTCCATGGGGCTTTCAAAGCCCACCTTCCAGGATCCCAGCCGTGTCTGTGACTCTTTCTGAAAAGAGAGTTATGCAGCCAGTGCCTTTGGATCAGGGGGTCTGGTGCCGAGAAGAGTTTTCACAGTCTAACCCCAGCTTTGGCACCAGCTCTTGTTTAAAACGCTTTTGGAAGCTGCAAATGAAAACGTGCAGCTGGGACGTAGGTGGGAGGGCTCCGTTTACCACCCCTCCGCTTCCCATTTGCACCATTTCTCCTGAAAGAGATCCATCTGCTTTTCTGATATTTTTCATTTATACCAGGTGTCAAACCCTGTCCCTGACCCTATCCGTAACTGTCCCAGGAGGTAGGCAGTGAACAGGCACTCGAGGGCTGTAGAAGATGCAGCAGTGAGGAGCCCGTGTGAGGAGGGTTGCCAAGGGGCTCGGCCAACAGCAAGATGAGACATTGGCCCTGTGGATGGTTCTCCGGGCACCCTGGGCCCGGAGAGCTCATACTACCATGCCACTCATTTGGCTGGACCCTAATAGCATCCCACGGGGGTTTGAGATTTGCCTCCTATTTCTCAGTCACCAGACCCTGTCCCTTCTCGGTGCCTGCCTGTCAGTCGATGCTCAGGGCTGCATGACATGGGACCCCTGCAGTGTCACCTCTGTCCAGGAGAATTGAGTGGGTGCGGCACCCCTTGGCCTAACCCTGTGGTCACAGTTGGACCTCATGTGGCATAACTGGGCCTCCTGACTTAGTTGGAAGCCACAGCCCGCCGAGCTGACACATCTTCCCAGAGCACACTGTTTTTGTTTCCATTTACAAAGATGGTATTTGTGGCCCATGCTCTGAGCAAGAAGTCGCTCCTTCTTGGCTACACTGAGCTAAAAGCAGGTGTAGGGATGGGCACTAAGTCATGATGGAGGATGACTCATGTCTGCCCAGACAGTAGCACCTACACTTCCCTTGGCAGCAAGGGTAAGGACACACCCTGCCCTCTCCCACCTGTCTTAGAGAAGGGGATGGGCTAGCCCTGACCCAGGCCAGTGGTGTAGGTAGTAAATCCAATCCCTAAGAGCTCCTCCCCCCTAAAAAAATGGCTTCCCAATGATGCCCTCAGGAAATGTCATGGCTGCCTTCCCGTCTCATCCTCAGAGGTTCAGGAGTTTGTGTAGACTCTGTTTTCACTTTCTTGGTTACACTGAGACACCTGAGTGGCAATGCAGAGGCCTTGGGTGTAACCTGGAGCCTCCTAGGTCCCTGCACTCTTCTCAACTATCAGCCTCCACAGAAGCCAGTGCACCATGGTGGGAAAAATAAAGGCTGTGCCACTCCAGGTGCCAAACAAGGGAGGGGTCAATGCTCTGACCTTCCCCAGTCCTGACACTCCACCACCTCCCTCATACCAGCCAACTCTGCCATCGGCGTCCACATTCTTGACACAAGTATTCGTAAGGGGACACTTTTGGTTCCTGCTGGCACTACTCAAATCCCTCCTGATGCATTGGTTACACAGCTTCTCCCTAGCTTCTGTTTCTGTGTCCACATGGTGTAGGGGGCAGAATTCCTGCTACATACTGGGTTGATCAGAATCCTGATCGTCAAGCTGCTTCCCATGTGTTTTCTCCGAAGCACCTGGACTCAGAAGACTCCCCAGGGCCAACCGCTCGGTGGGCAGCACTCTGCTGAAGAGGTTTGCAGGGCAACAGGAATATCACTGTTGGGGCGGAGAGCCCAGCAGGTGAGAGATCCAAGTGCAGCGAAACCCCTGCCTGCACTGCTCACTGTCACTCTGGCTAAGCCGGTCAGTTGTGCCCGTACTGATCCAGCCGGGGCATACCTGGTGCAGTCACCAAGCTGCCTACCCGTGTGCATAGCCAGCACACATGGCAACAGTGCACAGGCTAACAGCAGCCTCCAGGGTCACATACCTGTGAGGGGATGGTGTTGAAAGGGGCATGATGTTGGGAGTGGGGGCAGGAACCTTCTTTAACCTTTCCTGTCCCTCCAACAAGTAGAAAATGGCAAGAGGTCAGTTCAGACCTCTGGGACCAGATGGGCCGGCCTCTAGCCAGTCTTCAGAGGATCCAGACTGGGACAGCTGTAGGTCCTGAACTGTCTGGCTGGAGACTTGAGGACTGTCCTGAATGTCCTTCCACACTCCATGTCTTGAGGAAGGGGCTGTACTGAAGAGGGGCTAGGGCATAGGAGCCGGCAACTTGCTGTGTCCCTTCAAACATGGTATGTGGACGCTGCTCACAGCCTTCGTGTCCCCTCTTGTGGACCAGAGGCTGTCAGTGCTGAGCAGACACCTAGGGTCCAGACACTCTGGGTTTGTTCCTGGAAACCAGTATGAAGAAAGATGACCTCCTGCTGTCTGTCCACAGCAGCAGCAGCAGCAGCAACAGGGGAGTTGGAGGAGATCCTGTCTGCCTGTTGTCATGTGTCTCAGCCCCTTCCTCAGTGCTGTGCGAACAGGGGTTGGCAGAGTCCTCCTGGGGACCTCTCTAGGCTTTCTCTGCCTCCTGCCCTGCCCTGCCCTGCCCTGCTACTGCCCAGCTTGCCTGGCTTCAGGATTTATTGGGCTGAGCTTGGCTCCACTGAGGCCCTCCGCTTCTTGGCGGAGAAATTGCCGAGCAGCCACCTCCTCCACAAAGCCACACTGTTCTCAGCAAACCCTCCCAGGAGCGGGACGCATGTTTTTCAAATGATTCAGCAGCACGTGAATGGGAAGGGCCGCACTTAAGGCCCTGACATGAGATCCTGCTGGCCCACAGCTGGAGAGGAAGGGTGGTAGGGCGTGGGCTTGGCTCCACCAGGCCTAGAAGGATAGAGCTGGGGTCCTGGCGGGCACGAGGCAGCTGGAGGGTTGGGCCAAGACTGCTGCAGCTTTCTTCTGCTCATGTAGATGTGCCATCGCCCTCCCCACGAAGTGCCAAAGCAATGGGCAGGAAATGGAGATGGGAAAGCTGGTCTCCATGGAGACGGGCATCTAGCGGACAGCCGCCCTCCTATGCTTGTGAGCACACTAGAATCTGAGCGGTGGGCAGGGAGCCTGCTGCTAGGCAGGCCTGGCACATTCCCAGGCACCAGTCCACTGTGTGGCCCACAGCTGAATGCTGTGCAGTCCCCTGGTCAGAGCCTTGGAACCCCCTCCCCCTCCCATCCTCACCCCCAGCCACACCCATCCACTCGCCTTGGCCTGAGCTGTTATAGATGAGTAGGTTTTGACCTCATCCTGAGTAGGCTCAGCCCTACCCCAAGGCCAAGGCCCTGTTTGGTTTCACACTCCCTGAAAAGCCCAGTTGCTGCCTATGAGGGAATAGGTCATCAGATTTGGGGGTGTCTGTGGGAGGGGCAGGTCTCACCTGCTGATACAGGGAGGTAGCACTGAATCCTGCTTCCCAGCTCTGGACTGTTTCTAATTACTGAATGACAGCCCCCTTTTCCTTTTTAGGGAAGTGAGAGAAAAATAATTTGGAGGAGGTCTTTTCCACTAACTAGGGTGGCTGGGTATGGAGGGGACAAGACGAGGCAGAGCTCAGTAGACCATCTCAATGACCGACAGAGGGTACTTTGAGGTGGCAGAAGCAGAAAGGGTAGTCACCATGAGGCCAGAGACATCAGGTAGAGCTGGAGTCCTGGGAACCTGAGGCCAAACCTGCCTCATC